GATAGTGGCCCGTCTGGTCCGGACATAACAGGCACCCTAAGCGATTCGTGGCAGGAGCTCAATAAGTGTTCACTTCTAACATCGTCACCATCCAGGCTGCCCATCAGCAGGGGCCATGGAGAATGGTACCGCAGGGAGGAGCGACGGTCGCGGTCCAGCTGTCCCTGTCAACACATCACGCCTCCTCTGCAGGGAATAGGTTACTACAGAGGCCGCTGAGCAGCGGTGTCCCTGCCTTACGGAAGGGGTCCCCTCTTCCTGACTTCCGCCTCTCGGGAAAAGCAGAGGCCCTCGGCCACGGGAGTCCTGCTCTCACGATTTCGCAGCCGTCCTCTCCACAAGCAGACGGCCCGTGCAGCGACGCCGGTGCAGCGATCTGGCACCGCAGGGCGAGGCGGAGGCAGGTGCGGAGCCGAGGCCGCAGCCTGGCGGGAGGGCGTGGCGGGGGAGAAGGGCGCTCTGTCGCGTCCTGTCGGTTCCCGGGTCGGTTCCGATCGCCCACCGCCCACTGTCCGTGCAGAAGATGGCTGCCCCGAGAGCCGCGGACAGTCACGTGTCATGCCGAGACAGCCGCACGCCCCCTCCCCCGCTCACCGCGAGCCCAACCCTACGGGAGGCGCAGACCCAGCGCCTCTACCGTTGAGGTGCACCACTAGCCGGCCGGCAGGGAGGGTGCCAGGGCGGGAGGCCAGCTCTCGCCGCAGCCGTCCCTAACCCAGGCGCTGGGGTTCCACTCGCGGAGAGGAAGAGCTTCCTACGGCGCCCCGCACCAGCACGGGCTACTGGGCATGCGCAGTGCTCCCTCCCCGCGTGGCCGCTCTCCGGGTTTTCCCCGCAGCTTGGAGCGGCGGCGAGAGGTGGGGTCTGGACCGGTGGGGTGGCGCGGGGCTGCCCCGCCGCGGCCCGAATCTGTTCCGAACGGACTAGAGAGCTTCTGGCCGCCCCCGCCAGCTTGATTATTTTGGGGGAAGAAAGAGGAAAGTCTACGGAGAAAGGGTTGGAAACGGGCCAGTGAGTCAGGTCCGTTCTCTTCTTAAATGAATGCTTGATCGGGAGTTAAGCACGATTGTCGCTGCCCTGGGGCTTGGTGGGGAAGTGAATCCAAATGTAGTTCGCGAACTCCCATCCCGAGCCTGGCCTCCTGGACGCCCAGTTTAACGTTTCCTGCTCTCATCGGCTCTGGTGGCTCAACTCCGGGGCTCGGCCCCAAGTGGCTTACCATCCCGGACTAACCCCCGGCTCCTGCCCTGCTTCTGCGGTCCCTTAAAAACTTGCGCGCTGGCAAAAGTGTCGCCTGCCAGGTTTCCCATTCCTTGAAAGTAAGCGGGGCCCAAGCCTCCATCCGGCCCGGGTCCCGCAGGGTCCGGGAAGAGCCCACCGCGGACCCCGCCCGGCCGGCCCGGCCCCCCTCCCTCGGCCTCCGCGAACACCCGGAGAAGCGGACTCACGTCGCGCTGGAAGCCGGGCGGGCTCGGGCCGCGGACTGGGCATGCTCGGCAGCGGGGAGGCTCGCGGTGGCAAGTCGGAAGCGTTCGCACCAGCGAGGCAGCGGCCAGGGCAGCGGCGGCGGGCGAGAGCGGAGCGGGAACGGCTGGCCAGGGCAGGCTGTTCT